TCCATTTTGTTTGGAGTCAGGCTTTCCATGACAACTGCACGGGTTTCGCTAGTATATATATATGTATAAATACACTCAAGGAGGGAATTACTAACAGGTCTCATTGTTTATACTCTAATCAAGGATGCATCAGCGCATCGATTGGCTTGGATAATGTAGTCAAGCTTGCAAATTAATCCTCGTTTGCAAAATACAAGCGATGTGAACCAATCTCGTGAATGCTGGCGTAGTAAAGAGAGAGATATAATAAGAAAAATAAAAATAAAAATAAAAAAACAAAAAAAAATTGAAACAGATTCCTGCGATTAGTCTTCTTTAGTATCCCTTGAGAGGCGATGGATCCAAACTTCTGCAGTGCATTCGATCGGCACATTGAGGAGAGCTTCAGAGGAAGAGGTCACGTGAATTGATATGGAGCTTCGATCAAATGCAATGATGAAAGGAGGGCAAAGTGGGACGATTGATTGATATAAGTTCTGATAAACAACCCATCGATCAGCAATGTTGAAGTGCACGGACTTTAATCCGCGGGGGTCGAGGAAGTCTGAAATTACTCATAAGTATCTTCGGAAAACTCTAAACGTCTCAAACGCATCGTGATCTTCGATGTGTGGTTTGGGAAGCGACGTTGTTGGTAGTGGACATGGATACGATTTCCTGACGGAGTAGTCGGTTCCTGGCTTTTCGCTGTGGAGGCAGCTGAATTTGTTTATGCTTGGGAGGTATGACCCAGTTGGGTCTGCACAGCTGGGGGTAGATTGTGTAGTCAAGCTCCTTATTGTTTTTTTTATTTTTTTATTTTTTATTTTTATTTTGCTAACAACCCTCATTCGTGTTCTATAACAAAGTTTGCATCTGCGCATCGATTTGCATAGATACTGTCGCCGAGCTTGGTGATTATACCTCCTTATCAAAAGCGCAGCGTCGTGAAGTAGACTCGATAATACTGACGTTGTAAAGAGAGAAAATTTACACAAACATTAGAACATTCAATTGTTTTTTGTACTTTTAAGATTATTCCCTACCAATTCTTACTATTATTTCATCTTTTAAAAAATAAATACATGTAATTTTTAATAAATTTAAATTTTTTGTTTTGATACATCTTTAGAATTTGAATAGAATTGCAATGTAGTAATAGCATATTATTTATTTTCAATTTCAAGAGTAGGATGCTAAATCAATTTAGTTTTAATTCAAATTTGACAATTCATTTATTCTTAAAGATTCATATATTTCACAATATATTCTAGATAAGAAAAATATCATATATATATATATATATATATATATATATCTTGAATATGCTAAAATATCATGAATATCCTTACATTCTTGATAATAGCAAATTTATCCTTAGTATTTTTTATAATAATAAATGTATCCTTAAATATGATAAGGTATTATCAATCTAACAAAGATCCAATAAATCTTATGGATTCTATTATTTTTTTTTGTCTTCATATGATATAAGATGAAGAGGATTGGAATAATTTTAGGTAGAGGGATTTTTTGAAAGTCACAAAAAGAGGTTCAATTCCATAGAAATAGAAATGTTTTAAGTTCACAAAGCATTTCTTCTTCAATAAGCCATGTTGTTCTGCAACAATAAACACCCCAAAAGAAAGTCTCAATATTGCTATGGCTATAAAAAACCTGTAAGTATGTATACAAAAGAAAGAAGTAATAGTATTAAACATCCTTGTGGCAAAAATTTATCTATGTAGCTTAGAGAAATACCTACAAATATCATATATGACAATGATGTTATTGTTTTTGACCTCCTAGAGAAAAATGATTGTGGAATATGAGACTAGTCTTAAATCCACAAGTATAGTGGTAAGATTTTTTTGAATTTAATAGGATTGATATGTATACTTCCAGAAACAAAGTTTATTCAAGGCATTGACGTAAACAACTTACTGACAAAGCAACATCCTCTAGTATAGTCAATCTCATCTTTAGATTCAAATGCTAATACATTGCTACTTATAATTGGCAAAGATATATACGACAATGACTTAAGAAGATATTATGTAGAGATGGGAATGCCTTAAGAGCCATTAACATATGACTTTGTTCATAATCAATTTTTTTTGCAATATTAGAATCCACAAAATAGATTCTAAGCATTTCCATCTATTTAACAATGCATCTACTTAGCTCTTTCAAATAAGAATAAGGTAAAAATTTAAGGTGTGGATTCTTCCTACTCTTAATAAAATGGAGCTTTGGGATACATACATATACATACCTTGAAACTTAAAACAAACAACTTGCAACAGAGATTTCAAAGCCAAGTGCCCTTATCTAAATGGTGCTAATAGAGGGATTACAAATTTATTCATTTCTAAAAAGACAAAAATTTATTGTTTGCAATACATCTAGATTTTGGAAAGCATGCAAATCAAAAGATGCAAGCATCACAACAAAGAAAGCATCACCTTAACCAAACACAAGGATACTTATTATATTCAAGGGTATTGCTATTATCAAGAATGCAGGGATATTCTTGATATGTTAGCATGCTTGAGGGGTATATATGATATATTTCCTTTTAGATAATCTCCTGAGTGAATCCTAGCATAAGAATCAACATTCACTTGCTATTATCCTTTCAAATGTTGTTAAAATAGGTACATCTTCAAGGAAGATGCTGAAAATACGAAAATAAAATAAGGTCAACACTCATGTTTAATTCAGACTGGAACAACTTTCATTATTATCACACTCCATTCTTTTTCTCAATAACCAGTACTCTGTACAAATGCTGTAAATTGTGCATGATATTAAGTGGAGTGGATAGCATTCTTTATCTAGGATATTGTGCATAGAAGATTTCAAAACATGTTCTAATAGTTTGAGATCTCCACATTGATTTTGACATGAATTTCCACATGTCGAAGAATGTATGTGACTTGTTCACGTGCATTCGGGGACTCCGGACCTCCTCCACTACGGCAATGATGAAGCTGCCAGAACTCAAAGGGAAGTTTGGGGAAGGCATGGAAAGAAGCTCCGCTAGGGATGAAGGCGATTGCAAAAATGAGGTCGATTAGATACGAGACATCGACGACAGATGCGAAAACTCGTGGTGTTGTTGATGCAGCAGCTGGTCGTAACTGCAAAGCTGTTTCTGATCGCTTGCCTAGCTAACGTCGATGCTCAGTGACCGAAAGCTGGTGATTGGTGATGAGCACTCAAACCTTTCAAGAATAGAGTTTTGCATGCTATAGTCTTAGGTGGAGGGATTATTCTTGTAAGCACTCGCGTTCTGGTGTGCAGCGATTCTTTTGGTAGAGTAATTGTCTGTAGACGCTCGAATTATTTACACAAGACGTGATGTCCGAATCGGAGGAGAGCCGAGATTCAAGAGTTGCACTCATGTTCGACCTGAAGGTCTTCATAAATAGAGAAACTAAATTGTCACAAGGTTTACAACAAATCTCTTGTGGTGAGCCATTGCATGGCCACGCTTGCCCATGTTGGGTGCGTCATCACAATTGAGCATGTGTTTGCTTGTGAAACTGTCTACAACAAAGATGGCAATTAGAAAGACGAGAAAAAAGAACAAGAAAAAGACAAAGAGACAAGGAATTGAGCATGCAAGGAAGAGTAAGTGAGTTTATCTTAAAATAGAGTCTTTTTAATGGAGATGAGAAGGGAGTTACCCAGCCAATCTAATCTTGCAGATATTTAACACAATGATATTCAATAGCTTCAAAATTAACTAAACAATTTGAGATTCTCATATACCTCTATGCTCTACAATATGAAACATGACATTAATAATCTTTTGCTTTTGTTAGTTCATGTTTTTTCTAGTTTATGTATTTGCCATTTTTTAGCATCAAATTTTAGAAACATATCATATTGTATAATATATTTAATAAAATTGAAAGAAGCAAAAATCAACTCCATCCAAATTTTTATCAATTTTATTCAAATTGTACGATATGCATGTAACATCAACAACAACAAAAATAGGATTTTAGAATAATATCTTTAAAATATACATATATATATATATATATATATATATACATATACAACCAAAAATATTAATAACAAATTAAATCCAAAAAAGCTAAAGTTTATCTTTATAGCATACAAACAAAAAAGTAAATATTCTAAAACAACAAAAATTAGGAAGAAACATTAGGAACATGTTACATTTTAAAAGTTTTGAAGCTTGTAGTGAAACAAATTGTAGGATTGTACCACCACGCAACTATAAGAATTAGTCTTTAGACCCAAAACTTTCAAATGTCCAATATTGTCCAATATTGTTTCATGAGCCTACTTCGTCCTTTGCCATAGCACTTTTGATGCAAAATATTTAATCCTACAAGACAATTGTATAAAATCAACTTAAAATATAACATAACTCACAACGAAGAACACAACATCTTTGCTCTATCTTAGCAAGCAAAGAAGTTATTATTGGGAATCCTTAGGATTCTAACAACTCAATTTTTAGAATATTCATGTTCCCAATGACTTTGCATTTCTCAAGTTCTCCAAGTTCCTTCTTCAACAACCAATCAAAATGCATCTTTGTCTCTTTATCTTATATCCAAGTTCTTTTACATAATATATAAATATATATATATATATATATATATATGTGTGTGTGTCTTAAAATCAAAGCATCTTTTTTTGATTTGGGAGTAATAAAAATGAATATTTATCACTTGTAATTACAAAAACATGTAGCAATTTCCAACTTGTCTACACCAAGAATGATGTATCAATAGTTTCTTGACAATGATAAAAGTGGCAACATTAGTGTTAGTGTCACCAGAGATGTCTATTTAAAACATGAATTTTGTTTTCCTAAAATGAAACTATCTACTGTACAAACACATTGGTCTCAAACACATTACTCTCACTTTAATAAAGAAGATGTAAATGTACAGTGAGACATATACAGTGTAGAATGCCTTTCCAGGCAGAATGGGAACATGCCAGTTGCAGTTAGAGGGAATTGGAAGATGAAAAGCTTTGTTGTAACCCAGGGTTTGCAGCCTCTCACAACTCAGGTCTTTCTATATCTCAATAAGCCTCCTCGACTCCTCCTTTCTTCCTTCCTGCCTTCTGTCTTCTACAACCGAGCATTCTGCTTGTGGGGATATCCTTTTTGGCGCCCTGCAGTGATTGCAAGAAGCGTGCATTAGAGTGTTATTGTGGTGATCTGAACTCTTGTCTATGTGCGACCGAGCGGTAAAGAGGTCACATTCGCTGTTGTTTCGGGCTGGAGGTGTTGCAGGAATTTCGTGCGGGAGGACAGTGTGCAAGCAAAGATTCGCGAGATCAAGTACATTATTCAGAATCCATCTTTTATCATTTCGTTTTTTATCTGCCGTTTAAGTTTCCTATTCGGGTTTCATTGGCGGTGGTTTTGTCCACCGTCCCTGGTCAATAGCAGTGTTGGTGCTTGACGAATTCGTCGACCGGAGTCCTGTGAAATGCATCACATCGACCAAAAAATGAGGGGTTTTGCGGTTGATTCGTTACCAGTTCATTGGCCAGCGTTACCAGGTCGACAACTGATTAGCAAATTAGTAAGCGCGGTTTGCGTCGTATTAGCCAGCACGGAACACTCAAACTTCAGAGCAATTTTCTATATGCTGCAGGGGATATTGAGCCTCTGTGAATCAACTAAATTTTTAAAAATAAAAAAAATGGTACCAACAGCGTGCCTATTATGTCTTCGATGGCATGCCTAAGCAGCCCACCTGCACTATACATCTTCTTCACCTCATGCAATTTTTCTCCGAATTTGCAGACGATATTCCTCTCGTAATCTAAGTTGGAGCGGGATCCCCAAATTGAGACCATTACAGTGGCATCGAGTCTGAAGATCCTACATCATGTGTGGGCCACGTAACATGTTCACATCAGTGTTCAAAACAAAGCGTAATCCGAACATGCCGAGGAACCCAACACGATCCATGATGGACAAAATCCATTTCCTTTTCAAGAAGGATGAGAGGGAGGCGATTCCGGGATCCGGGTCAAGAGCTGGATCACGACCGGGCTCCACAATTCCATCGCGAGGTCCATCGCGGTGACCTCCGTATTGTGTTTGTAAGAAACCTCGACAAATTGATGCAATATCCTGCGGCAACTAGATTTAACATTCCACATTCAGAAATACACATCATGCTATATCGAAAGTGACATAAAGTTGGCGAACTGGTTTGTCTGTCTTATCTGCCTTACAAATTATGAACAATGTGAGTTTCTGCATTAAAAAAGAAACCAGATAAAGCAATTCTTCACCTTCACACAAAGTCCTGCTTCAAGTGTTAGGGACTCAAGGTTTCCAAAGTAGACACCAACGCACAATTTGAATTAGAATACCCACTCACGTGATTCAAAAATATATTCAGAATCCAAGAAGTTTCTTTGGTTTTTAGTTAGTGGTAAATACAGTAGAACGGCACTTCAATGCTGCGAAAGTGATACATAGCAGGGGCTGTAAGTTAAACCGTACCCAAAAGGAACTATCTGTTTTACAAAGAAACCTAAAAGATAATTCTTTTTCTCTTCTTGCAGCCTACAGTAAAGCACACCAATGGTTCGCTTCTGTTGGTTCTACGTCCAAGTCAAGCCCCACAAGGCTAATTGCAGTTGCCGTCGCGTATAAATATTCAGGTAGAACACCTTCAAATCTACTTTCTTCAACACATGCATCCCTCTCCTTCCGCACTGCCCCAAAATTTTCAAAATTGAGCTCAACAAACTTCCCCCACACCATAACAATGCGGATATGTAGTGTCATTAGAAAGATGAGAAAAAGCTGAATAGGATGCGAAGAGAAAAGGCAATCTGGAAAAGATCAGTGAGTCCTATCACTTCAAATCACTGTGTTGTCCTTGATTGTAGCGTTTTTGGCTATCACAACAATGCCTGAGCGAATGTAGAAACCTTCTTTGGCTCTGTCTGCCTCAAAGACAGTCTGCATGCAAACAGGTAAACAATCGCTTTGTCTCTTCAGTAAGAATTCAAAAGCAGAGTTAATGCACTTGGACTTGACGTCCTAACGGCTGGAAATAAAATCCTTAACGAATCTGAAACTTGTCTGGGTGTTTCCAACACTAAAGAATAGAACAGTAGCATCAAAATCAAAAAAAAATAGAAAGGTAAATAATTTTCATACATCTGTGTTGGCAATGACGACGTTCTTCCCTATCTTCGCATTCTTATCAATTATACAGTTCCTGCAAACCAACCCAATAATGTATTATTCAGTTATTCATGACCCGAGAACACAAATATAATTCTAACTAACAAACGTAGAATGTTCAAATGCCAACTGCACTAATGTATGCACAGCTCTATTTGCAAAACTTTAGAGTATGTGACTGAATTCACGATTTCATGCACAGTGCTAGTTCTGTTAAGTGTCCAATCCATCACTCGGTTCAAGGCTAGTACTTAATAGTGGTGTTCTTGCCAATCCCCATGGGCACTTTGCCTGCAGCGATCAAGGCAACTCGCTCCTCATCTGTTTCATAGAAATCTGCACCTAACATCATTGTATTCTGCACCAAACAAGCACCACAAAGTTCATGTTACACAAGAAATTCAAACATTTTAAGTCTTGCGCTGCCAGTGCTCGCTCAACAGAAATAAATAAATAACTAAATAAAAATTAAAAAATTAAAAATTAAAAAGAAGAAGGAAAGAGCATAATTAGCTAATCTCATCATCGAAAGGTCCAGTAACTATGCCCCAATAACTAATACCAAAATATTCGAGCACGATTTCAAGAATACCCAACACAATCAATATTGAGATGATTCATACTGTAATAGTTGGAATCATGTGTCTAACGTACTTAAACTTAACGAATTGCGAACAAGAAAATATACTTTAAGAATCAAAAGTAACATCCACAGAAGCTTCCAAAGCACGTAAATAATTATGTAACTACTATGAAATAAATTATGGTAGGTAAACCTATACCTTCACTTCAACACCAGATTCAAGCCGAGATCGAAGTCCGATTAATGAATGCTCCACTTTACAGTCCCGTAAGAAGCATCCATGAGACACAATTGAGTGGATGATCTGCGTTGCAAAATATTTGTTAAGACTGCAACTCACCTTTCATCCAAAAATTTCCAATTCTTACTCTCATTCATCCAAACCTGTACTATATCTCACGTTTGTATCCACACCATAAACGTATTAATATACTTTCGCAACCATTAATCAACATCATTTTAACAGCATAATGTAACGCCGACTGTAGACTGGGACCCCAATCTTCTTTCCAAGGTTGAAAACTACACTGATTCACTTGAGTAATTACAGGCACTAGCTAGAAATATCATTCAGCAGAACTTCGCTCGTGTGGTGATTGGTTACCCTGCATTGTTCCACTTTCGTCGGCGGGAGGTAGCGGGGTGATGTGAAGATTGGTTTTGTCGCATCATAAAATTTGAATTTAGGAGGCTGCCAAGAAAAAAACCACACTAACTTAAGAGCAGTCACAGCCACGCGAAGGACTCATTAGCGCCCCACCTCAACTGAATTGATCAAAGAAGTAAGACAAGTTTAAGAAGTACTCATCAAAATAAGGACCGCCTTGACAAAACTAGCGTGCATCTAAGCATTCACATTCTAGATCTTAGAGCATCATGATACCAGTATATTCAAAGCAGGAAACATTATTCGTTAGTTATCTGAATGCTGTTACCAGATATAAAATGCACCAAGAAAGTTACCTGCGCTGCCAGTGCCAAGTTAGCGTCAAAAAAAGACTTGATTGTTCCAATGTCTTCCCAGTAGTCGTTGAACAAATATGCCTGTCAAAGAACACCATTCATAGTAAGAAAACAACTTCAACCCTTTACCACGACCGGGCATGAGGAAGTAGCTGTCAATTATCAATTGTAAAGGTGACAACGCCAACGTAAGAGCAAAAAACCTTCATGCATGTGATTTTATACTCACAAATGTCTTTCACGATAAGATCTTGCACTGCACAAGATTTCATGTATTTTATTACTATAATTTCTCAACAGTACTCTGAGTCCAACGAAGCGCCCAAAGGTAGGGCTTCGCCACAAACCTGAACATTGTATTCTTTTGCTGCTGCAGGAATGATCTCTGACCCGAAATCATTGGATGTTGGGTATCGCCATCTGCATCACCCAGCAAAATACCTGAGACTATGTTTTCCTGAACATCAAATCATAAGCTCTCTCTCTCTCTCTCTCTCTCTCTCTCTCTCTCCACGAACATTTTCTGTCGTTTTAATTATTTTGAGAAAGGTCCTGAGAGCAACTCTCTCTCTCTCTCTCTCTCTCTCCACGAACATTTTCTGTCGTTTTAATTATTTTGAGAAAGGTCCTGAGAGCAACTCTCTCTCTCTCTCTCTCTCTCTCTCTCTCTCTCTCTCTCTCTCTCCACGAACATTTTCTGTCGTTTTAATTATTTTGAGAAAGGTCCTGAGAGCAACTTCTACTGACCTTAGGAGCTTCAGCAGAATGTCTTTTCTAAACACATATATACCCATGGATGCAATGTATGGCATCTTCTTCGCTTCTTCAGGCGACAGGCCTAATACGGAAGTGTCCACTTGCTGCACTCCCAAGGCACATCAGATATAATTAATTGTCTTCCGACGATGGCGAGCCAAGTCTAACATCAATATTCCTACAGAATACTCATACAAGAGCTTTCACCTCACATTCTTAGAATTTCGATAACAATCCATTATCTTAACAGATAACATACTTTGAGTCTCATGACGCAGGTAGAAAATTATTTACCTATCAGTATCTGAAACCCAATACAATCACCAATTTTGCAAGTCTTGTTAACAATAAAAATGAAAGCATCAAACCAAACTCAGTGACCACTAAAGAACTGCAGTGCACAATACCATGGACTCCAGGTCTACTCCCCTAGGCTTTTCGTTGAAGTAAAGGACTCGGCCCTTGTCATCAATCTTCATCAATCCGTAGTCCGAAGCACGGCTGCGCACAAATCCCAAACAAGCCACATGTCAATACCACGACCATCAGCCATTCTTAAAGAACGAGCACACAATAGACCGGCTAAACGTATGCTTTAAATGTTCATAACTATCTCCCTGACTCGCTGGCTCTAACTAGCGCAATATGCATCCATAAAGATGAAGTTTGAAGGTTCCAAATCGTTCGTATTCTACTGAAATACTTGGAACGCTTGTTGGATTTCAGCTTCATCCTGAAAACTTGGTTTTTAGCATGAAAAAATTGGTCAACACAGAATGACATCATTCATGTTATCGACACTAAGATATGGCTCATGATGTGCATCACACGGAGTAAGAACACATACCTTTCATCCATGGGCACACAAGAAATAGTAATATCAGCTCCGCTGTCCTTGTGCTTCTGCAACACATACATAAACTCCAATTACTTGCCGACGGGAATCAAACAAACCACATTTTGAGACCACCATTCTGTAGCCGTGCAAGCACAATTCACTGAAGCATATTAACACCATATCAAATATGCTTGCTGCTTCTAAACTATTTCAGCGTTTAGTTTGTACATTGAAAATAGACAGATTAAGGTTTGTGATAGCATGGTTACATCTTATCCTCTCACTAATTGTATTACTGACAATACTCCGAGAAACAATACCACACGTACCTATTGGCATTCTGCATTCACAACAACAAAGCATGTGCATATCCTGCTAAGACTTATCATAAGACACCAACTAGTGGTAAGCGATAACGAGTAGGTTAGACGATGCTGACCTGAATGAAATCCATATAGTCCATGCGATACAAGTGATCTCCAGAAAGAATAAGCACATGCTCAACTTGCTTATTCTTAGCATCCTGCTCTCAACAACAGGATGAATACAAGCTTATTACTCATCCGAATCAATAATAGCTCTATTCGAATATCCCTCAAAATTTGAGTTCCACGAACCCCAGGAAATATCATAAAATGCATAGACAACTAAAACACACGGAAGGTAGTGTAGTACATACATACCTCAAAAAGCCACGTAAACTGTCGGACTGCATCGGCCGTACCCTGGAACCAATTCATACCAGCCTCTCCAGGTGTCTGCGTGGCTGCCAGCACCTGCACAACCGCATCATGTGCTTTCAAAAAAAGCTACAATCACTTTCCTTTTTCTCAAACGCCATAAATGAAGTTATAAAGAAATTGAACTTTTATCAAGGTGATGCATTGGCATGTTACAACAGAACATTATTCAATCACCTCAACGAACCCATCCCCGAAGTTAACTCCATTTCCAAAAGTGTACGTTCTGGCTAAATGCCGGTTTAGTGAAGCCGAATTGAATTGAGTAAGAATGAAGATTTTGTTGATGCCACTGTTGATGCAGTTACTCATAGGAACATCAATCAGTCGATATCCTCCTCCAATCGGCACCTGCACCAAAAGTATGAATGATGTATAACAAAATGTGGGCATAAATTACAAATTCATGATCTGCTATAAGTAATAAATAGAGTAAAAAATGTCTAATCAGAACACATGCCCAATGCTAAACTTAATTATCTCCCCTTCTTCAATTGGTAATAAATTCCGGTCCATCTTCGAAAGGTAGGAAACACAACTTGCTGACTTCAGTTAAGTATGGTCATGCCAAGCATCTGATAGAAAAATTCTGAAAATATTCTCGAATACTACAAACGTCGCGCAAGAAGTGACCATAAACACTTACAGCTGGTTTGGCTCTTCTATGGGTCAGAGGAAACAGCCGAGTTCCCGCTCCCCCACCGAGAATGAGTGATACTACAGAACGAGCTTGGACAGAGGGCTTCTGTGCAGGCGGCGATTCCTGCAACTCCGCATTCAGAGTTCATCAATGGAATGATCAACAGCATTCATGCACCAATCATAGCATTGTCCGGAATGCAAAAAATGCAGCTCTCGTGATCTCGTCTATGTTTAAAACCGTTATCACAACATACATACATCCATTTGAATGCACCAAATAACAATTGACATAATCGTTAAAATGATCGCCAGTGAAAGCAACACTGTTCCAAAAGTCAAGCGTAATGCTATATATCCAGTGAAGGGGAGCCTTGAATACTGCTATTGAAAACTGATAACTCCTCTTTCATTGATGCGCAGAAAGTGAATAATTACTATTACATACAACTATATGCAGTACATACCTAGATCCGTCTCTATTTGCAAAATCAAAGTCATCAAACACAAGACTCCCAACCTCAAATGATTGGCACATAAGAATATAGCTTGATGCTGAACTAGTCACCTAAATCCTGATTTTATTCTTTGACTATATTAGACTGAAAGAGTGGAAAAGTAAAAGCATTCCACTGATCTTATCACTGGAAGGAAAACCTCGCCGCTCACAGGATGATAGAAACAAACATGAAATACAAACTATAGACCTGCAAAGTACCAAAATGTTCTGGTAAGTTATGCAGACAAATCAGGTTTACTTAGTTGGACTAAGAGTAGTGATTGTGACATCAACTTGGTAAAAGACATGGGAAAATAAATCAGAAAAGTATGGACTAGTATTACGCACAAAAACTTGTGCGTTCATCTAGATTACTAACAAGCACAAAATCACGAGTACAAAACTACAATGCAATCAAACCAATTCGCAGTCACAGCCATCAAAAAAGGAAGCCAAACTTTTGTATCACAAAACGGAACGGAACGGAACAGCAATCTCCAAGCTCAACCGAGCTTCAGAAACGGATCCGAGAGTATGCAACCTTTGACTGATATAAGGATGTAAAAATAATCCACATAATTTTCATCTGAAACTTGGTTACTGATATTCCCAAGTTTCATACGTGAATCCGTCCATGGGAGATACTCGAAGGCAGACGAAGCGAGACACCTAATCCAGCTAGTTCCAAAAATAAGAGCACTTAGACCAAGCCACGGTGGGGGGGGGGGGGGGGGGGGGGGATGCTGAGAGCAATTTACCCTCAAATAAGCAACAAGAATACGCACTCGTCTATGCAGAGCAAGCAATTTCGATTGTGAGAGAGCCTCAAGACACAACAAGCGTCCAGGCAACGTACCACACTTTCCTCGGTAGTCTCCACAAACAGAGACTCCACGACGTTCGGCTTCGACACACGTCTGCACCATGTTGAGGACCGAGCATCATTACGGAGTGGGCTGCAGATTCCAGCATGCAGGAACGAGGACACGGAGAAGGAACAAGGAGGCGCTGCAAGCTGATTGACAGAATGCTTCTGTTGTGAGCTGCTGCATGCTACAGTTCCTACGATTGCACTTTGAGCAGACCGAAGGATTGCCGCGCCCGCCATTTCTCCAACCTTGCCTCACAAATCTCAAATCCGGATCCAACCTTTTCGCTTCCACGAGATCTGTTGAACTAACCGTACTTAATCTTTCTACTCCCTGCCAGGACGTCCTGATTACCACAATTCCACGATATGTTCTCCTTCCTCGATCCCCGCCAACATGAAAAACACAAGTTCCTAGACCACAAATACTTCAACAAGCAGTGTCCACCGAAATTCTAGTAATGGATTTTCAAAAGAGTCTCAGTCCACTCTTCCAAGTCTCTGAACCATTTCATCTAAAGTTAAACTCCTCGGCACTCCAAATCTCCACAGGAAACAGATAGGCCGAAGTCTCAACTCCACAATGCGGATGGTCTACTTGAGCAAAACCAAACACCCAGGCATCCGACTTCCCTCTCTCTCTCCTTTCCAAAAACCTCACAAAAAAACTGCACTCTCAACAACTCTCCCAAATGCGACGCGATTTTCACTCGTTCTCCCTCGTCTCTTCACCGTTCCCCGCAAATCAAAGTTCAATCGGTCTCCGGCAGCACCGAATGCATGAATCCACTGAAAATTCCGCCGCTATGAATTGGTCCTGATGGTGGCAAAGGGCGGATATGGCCACGGCGTACGAAGAAGGAAGAGTTTCCCAGCTGCCAATATCGCTAGCTCGCTGTGAGGAATAACAGGCATCAACATCATCAGGTTCCCGTGAGGTTCCCGATGCGTTCCCATCGGGGCTCCTGCCACCTTTCTCCACCCTCCTCACCCGAGATATTATGTTCTCGAAGCGTTCCCAAAAGCGTTCCCCACAGTGTGCGTAGCTCTCTCTCGAATGGGTTGGTTCCGTCACTAAGCCATGCACCTGGCACCTGCTAGACGGCTCCAAGTGGACGATCAGTCTCATCTCCCCACCCCCCAAGTTCGTTTTGGTGGCATTATTTTGGAGTTTTCTGCCACGTTTGATGACCGAAATATCGACCCTGGCTTGATGCATTCGCATCGTTCCGATTCGAAGAGCAGGTGTCGAGGCACCAGTGCCTGGATTGCAGCAGGCAGGGTTCCAGTGTTTCTAAACCCCCCCCCCCCATCTCACAAATTCCAAGGAAAAGGGTGTTCATTTTGATATATAAATCTTGGAAAGTTTGCTGGAAATGTGAGATTATTTATACGTTAACACGCCTCTTGTTAAGGGGGAGGTTTGATTCCCATTTGTGTGTGTGTGTGTTTTCGGTATATGCCATGGCTTTCTCCCACACAATCAGCTCTCCCGTACAAGGCGTCTCAACGATGAGAGCCCCACACGTGGCGTTGTACCCAACTGCTTGTTTAGACATGAAATTCCTCCGAGGTTCCTTTCTTTGTCTTGTTGCGGTGTTTGATGTGTTATTGCTTTGAACGGGTGGTCGCGGTGTGTTGGAGTAACTTCTTTGAAATGACTGCTTTATTTCCCCTTCCAAATAGCCTTGCTTGGGTTGGAAGCACGCCTCACTCCGCCCGATTTCGGCTTTCTCTCCACATCGGCTGGGCGTACTTGGTGTCGACTGACGAGCTCAAATGGAAATTGGCCAGCTAGACTAAGTTTGGGTCGAGCAATTTTTTTTTAATCTCTGAAACTGGACTTGAATTTTAGTGTCGGGTGACCAAATGTGTACATGGTCCGGAAATGTTGGGCCCTATCCAACTGGGTGGCTTGTATCCATTGAGAGCAGCAACTGCGCTCGAAAATTCTTTTATTGCGGTCAGTGGACCATTCAGTCAGGATTTGGATTTACTGTTGTTCGATGTAACACTCGAACGAGAGAAATCACACATTCACTGAACCTGGTTGATTCAAAGTGTGAATGAAGAATTGGCGCGGCGGTTTCTATATTTTAACGGTGGTCTTGAAGACCTACTTGAATATATTAGTAAAAACAACACACACTACACAACCATCGTTAAAAATAACTGCAACTCTATCTAGTCAATTATAATAGCACCTCGTAAATCTTTCAAAACAGCTTGTTGCATACTCTATTTTCATAAGTTTGCTATAAAACAACAATCTCTAAACAAGAACTTAAGGATGGGGCTCTTGTCACTCCGTCAGCCATAAACAACGATGTACAGTCAGTCCACTCTAGGTGATGAAGATGTGCCCTTTTAATGACTATCTTTAATGGAAAGGCAGTCCAATCTCAGTCGGAGATGCATCTCTGAAGCTGTCTCTCGAAGTCATCTTGTGCATGTGAATTATGAATAAAATAAAATAAAATAACATAAAAAATACCCACCACCACTGAAGAGTACTCTCACAATTTACTTCACTGATTATATTGCCTTTGTATAATGAGTTTCAGGGTAATGCACAAATGCAGGAACGTTGAACGTTCAGAATTGCATTGGAAAAGAACCGCTCTCATGTATTTGACATGATAAAGTGTGTATACTTGAAAGCCATCCACTGGTACATCAAGCTCTTTCTGCAAGTGAGACAGCCATTTGTTAGTGGACCACCCAGATAGTGATTCCAAACCTTCTCTAATACATTATGGCACCATATCACATTCAGGAAGTTCGAAATTTTCAATCAAGCGCCTGCATGACGATCAAATTTATTAGGCTCCAGAAAAACCTTCGCCGCATAGAGAAGCGTCACCAGCAGGTTTTACATCCAACTTCTCATTCACAAGATCAATAACACTAGCCCTAAGTGTCTGTAACGCCAATGCACCCAGAAACCGTGATGTAGCATCTGAATCTTCTGTTCTGCTGCCTGATAGCCTCAATGACCAATTTATAGTGTGGGATTTAACTGCTGGAGACGCAACAAGAGAAACATCCTCAAAGTTATCCAGTTCAAATGTAAGAGAATTGAGGCGAGCTTCCACACCCATGCCTGATGCTTCAGCATGCAGCCAGGCCACCAAATGGGCTGCCATCTGCCAACCAAACATCAGTTATTAATCTCTGCAGAAACTACACAAAGATGATGCAGTGTAATACAATCGTTATAAAAGGAGTCCAGTCAAAATTCTTGCTCTTTAGAATCTGAATCAAGGCTGCTACTCAACGGCCAAGTAGTTGTGTGCCCGACAGCGGGGAATAAATAGACAGAACTTAAACGGTATAATCCAAACACAACTAATGGGCTGTGAGAGTTGGAACAGGAAGTAATGAATTACCTGAAAGAGGAGGAAGGGTGAGAGCTCTGACAAAGTACAGGCTGTTGAAGTCAGTCTCTTACCATTTCCAGATGGCAGACCTGCAATTGTCAAAACGTCTTCTCTCAATACAACACTAGCCTGCCATCTGCCCAACAACGCTGAATCTGGAACATCTAATCAAAGGTCTCAGGTTGACACCTGAGCGTGCCATGTGGGATGTAATAAAAACCGGAGCTCTGGAACTCCATGAACCTACATTCATTGAAAATTCATCAATAAACCCCCATCGAAGCTACGAGAATAGATGAGAACAGAATCGAGCAATCTCAACATTAGCATGATCACAACATCAAAGCTCAAAAAGTATACTTGGAGAGGTTCTTCGCGAAGAAGTATCCAATATTGATCAGCCGCTTGACCTGCTTCTGAAGACAAAATTTAAATTGCTTTTAACAAAGTTGAGTGATTAATTTTAAAAGTACTGGGGTGGCCTCTTGTAAATACTACGGTCCACATAGTATAAGGACTTAAATGTAGAATAGAGGCCAACCATTGTAAATTAAACACTTCATCAAAGATAGCTCTGTTAGACATGGTATTTCCAGCTCTGTTAAGGGCTGTTAAGAAAAGTCCTTAACAGCCGTCTCAGGTACACTGACACCTCAACAACTATACAAGCCTGATTGGAGCTGACACCTATATAAATCTGACATGTGATTCTCCAACCAGACAAGTATCACACACCTGAGCATCAAAGTTAGCAGTCTGAATTTGCCGAAGCACAGCTTAAGTTCTTGTGGCGCCCCTGTCTACACCTGGTCCAACGCCCCTCTCCCCCGGCTCAGATGCTTCTGGCAAGACCGTCGCATCAGTCTTCCCCTCCTTACTAGTAGCTGACAAACGCCCTGTATCATTCCTAAATTTGAACGGAGCTGGCGTTGAGTGAAGAGTAACATGCAGGGACGATAGAGTGAGTGCAGCGGGAAGATGAGCTGTTAACAAGCCAACTGAGTTCTGCTCAAGACAAGGGGCGCTTTCAGAAGTTCTTACACCAATAGAGAACTCTGCACTGCCACCTGGACCAGCTGCCACTCCACGTTGCCGCTTGACCTTCCAGTTCCGCTGAAGTCTTTTCTTGGAGAAGACACAAAAGAGTCATTGGGTGTCAGGAATGGAGGTCATGTTCAACATTTCGGTTCAGGCCATTATCCTAACAAAGTGCTCTCGAAGTTGCCACCCACGACATACATAATAGTGCATACGACGAAAAGATCATACCTCATGAGAGCTCCATAAAAAACTGCCTCTCTTTCAACTTGTTGCTAAAACTTCCTTGGACGAATCATGTACTCATGTCGGTTGACCATTTTCCTGTTATCATGCTCCGGACAATGACTTATAACATAACTACATAACATCACTACAGCGACAGAGAGAAAAGGCCATGATTTGTTTGCTGCAGTACGACCCCTATATTGTTATGAAAGATGTGAACATTGGGTGTCACGAACGGAGGTAATGTTCAAAATCTTTCCGATAACGGTAGATTAAATTCAGACTCCTCAAACGGCACACAAAAAATATCATTCTGCTCTAAACGATGCCTGGCGCACATGGTTTCACAGGAAAAACGCAGAAGGAAAATGTGAGGAGCGTAGGAAGCGCCAATTAATAATTAGACTACCATGGGAATGGATTGCATTTAAATCAATCACCGAGATCTGAAAGATGGTACAGAGCAAATAAATATCAAATAACCCTTCTTAGATCACATTAATAGCGCCAACATTGATCTACTTGAGCAGAAAATTTAATGCTCGTTCAATACACTATTGGAACCCGAGAAGAAAAATATTTACAATCCATGTACAAGAAGCATCGGACCTTTGGCCAGGATTGAACATCCACTATACACGGAACCGCTCTTAGAACTGTCGTAGAAAAGCATTTCTTAGTTGTTTTTGTTCCAGTCAGCGAACTCCATACCTTGCACCTCGACATCAACATGCAGCAGGAGGAAACCCTAACAGCTCTTACTGCAGTCAGACTTCACGACTTTATGCTCCCGAGACAGCTACAAAGAGAGGCCAAAGTGTACCCAACAAGTATGTGTAAAATCCTGTCATTCGACCTTCAAATTGTGCAGTATCAGCGTAACCATGGGAGTAATGTTCCTTCCTACTTAGATTGCTTCAGTAATAAGTTGTTCGTTAGATAGAAAGGGTTGCACTTTAAGAGTTTTCGATGCCTTGCAGGTACAAAATCCGTAATATTACGAACAATAACAAATCTGTTTTATTTGAAGGATGGCAATGCTTCGTTGAGCCTTATTCTCCATTAAGCACATGAACACCAATTCCACGATTGCTACTCGGCCCAGACCTCAATTCCCACTCCTTCGCAATCACAGCTTTTCTACGTACAATCCAATTACACCGCATAATATTGCAAGAAGTAACATCCTCAAAAAAGAGAATAAAAATAATAAGGATAAGTGGAAGAAGAAGAAGAAAGAAGGAGAAACAGGGCACTCACGGCAGAAGATATTCCGTGCCACTTTCCTCCATAGCCAGCACCCGTTTCAGGGGCAAGGGATCCAAGAGACCTCCCTTCACCTCGCCGAGCTGTAGACAGTGTGCGTCTGTCTCTCGCTCTCTGCCTCTCGCTCTCTGCCTCTGTCTCTCTCTCAACAAGCGAAGATCGCAACCCTGATGCAGCAATTGCACATAATCCTGAACTGTAGGTGGAGCTTGGCGGCAATCCTCGTTGTTGCGAAAGTGGAAACGAAAACGATGATTGAGAGACGGCGTCCTCGTAGAGTGCAACCCCGACCACTTTCCACCCCTTGGACGGCGTCTCCACCACACAAGCGGGTTTTTTTGGGGAAAATATTTTATATATAGATATGTAAATATATAACTATATATATATAGTTATATATGTCAAGTATGCTGATATCAAGAGTACCCCTGCATTCTTGATAATAGCAAGTGTACCCCTTGCATTTTATATAATAGCAAATGTACCCTCAAATATGATAAGGTATCACCAATCTAATAAAGGCACAACAATTTTCATGAATTTTATTACTTTAATTGTCTTTATATGGAGTCCAAACTGCATGCTTTTATGATGTCATTTGTGATTAGATCTTAGCTTGCTTTTTGACATTTTACCTTGCAAATTCTTAGCATGTAAAAAAAGTATTCCAATACTTAGCTGAGATGATGCTTTCCTTGCTATAATGTTCACATTCTTCAAATTGCATTCCAATGTCAAATTCTTTGCAGCTTCACCTTCACCACTCTTAGGTGAATTAAATCATCCAAATAATATCATCTTGGATGAAAAGCTAGGAATTTGGACAAAGTTTTATTATTTACAACTTTGTGTGAAAGTTTAACTATAATTTTTTAGATAATTTTACTGCTCCATCTTTATCATCTTTCAATATCACTCAAATAAATCATTTCATAATCTATCCCTAGACCTCATTGATGCCACCTGGTTAACTATTTGGGAAACTTTGTTTGAAATATACTATATTGATTTACAAGCTCTATGACTAGCAATTTGTGATGGATAAGTTAAGCTACTAATGCACTTACATTATCACAAGGTCCACATATACATGCTTGCAAATATAAAGTGTGTAGTGTGGACGTTAAAAATAATTATAAGTACCTAGTTTAAGTTTGAATAAAGACTATATGATATGTCCAAGGTCTTCTTAAGAAAAAGTAAGCAAGTAGCGGTCCTATTACATCTACTTAGGCAAGTGTTTGAGACCATTACTAAGAGGTTGCAAGTACGCATAAGATGGATGCTCTAAAAATCCATTCTTGTTAACAAATTGGTCATTCCTTAGTTCTTTCTTCTCTATATCTTCTCTAATTCTTATATGTTAAGAACTCTCAAGCTGGCTTATTGACAACAAGTCTTGTGCACTAATATATAAGCGACTCTCATCAAAATGGATGAACTTGGCCATAATGCATGTACCTCGTTCCATCAAACCTAACATATTATTCTTTGTAGTTGAAATTGAAGAATTCTAATCAAACTTTGGCAATTCCTCCCATATTCTTGATATGCATACATTCTATTCTAGATGGCTATTCTTCCTCATTATTTTCTTAACAATTTTTTTTATCAATCACATGCAAAAGAAAAAAAAAAATTGCTTCATACTATTAGACAATAAGTTAAATCAAACAAACACCATTAAACAAAGACATAATCTCAAGGACGAGCCTTTCTTCTTAGGCTATTATTGAAGAGAGCTTCTTTTGGCTCTACTCCATCCTTATTATTAGTAAGCTCACACACACTTGACGTAACTTCCATGCCTTAATCAAATTAGTGATACCTTATCATATTTGAGGGTACATTTGTTATTATTAAAAATATTATGGCTACATTAATTATTATTGAGAATATAGAAATATTCTTAATATTTCAACATACTCAAGGGATATAAATATATATATATATATATATATATATATGAATTTTTTTCTTTCTATTTACATGTAACATACATCATGAAGATGAATATAAAGAATTATTTTTTAATATGTTAATAATTTTTTATTTTATTATTTTATTACTATTTTAAGTTTTTTTCAAATAAAAAATAAATAAATATTAAATATATAATTTTGGTGATGTTGGTGTGAATTAATTAAAGATAAAATATCATGTCATATATATATATATATATAAAACTCAAACATACTAAAATATCAAGAATATCCTTATATTTTTGATAATAGCAAATGTATCTCTAGAATCATTAGTAATAACAAACATATCTTCCAATATGATAAGGTATTAGGAATCTAACAATATTGCATCATTTTTGATAATTTTTTTATCTTAATATGGATTCAAATATGTGCCTTTAAGATTTTGGCTTAGTAGACTTTTAAAGAAAGAAAGAGCCCCTAATATGTTATACACTCTAGGATAGATTATTAGAAAAAGGAGAAGAATATCACATTTGTACAAAGTTACAAGAAGTAATTCTTACCAATATGCATATTGATTCTATACCTTTTCACTAATATTTGCAATTTTGGAGCTTCTTACAAGAAGGTACGAAGAACAATTTTTACCAGCATGCATACCAATCTTAGAGCTTTTCACCAAACTTTGCAATTATAGAGCTTCTTGCAAGAAGGTGCAATAAAGCATGAGAAGGAGGAACAAGGAGGAGAATCTATAAGAAATTTTTAACATAATTTTATATTAAATTAAATTATATGAAATAATTCTAAAAAAAATTATTTAGTTTTTTATAGATAATTTATTGTTATTTCACATTCTATAAAAAAATATTCTTTCATGAATTCAATACTATATATTAAAAATTAACAAAAAATATAAACTTAAATTTTATAATTTTTTAAAAGAATAAAAAAATATCTATTTTAAAATAAATTTAGATTTTTTCTTAAAATCAAAGTATTAAAATATTTTAATCTTTCAAAAATAAATTTAATTATGGAATTAAAATTATCTATTAATTTTATAAATAAATAAATATAAGAATAGTAATTGAAAATGAATTGATATAATAATTTCTATATAATAAAAATACTAAAAATTATAAGTTATTTAAATTATTTATATATATATATATATATATATATATATATATATATATTCCTAGAATATTAGCTTTTGAACTAAGGCATAAGATAGTTCAAAATTTCTTTGCAATAAGATATCTACATATAAATATATATATATATATATATATATATTCCTAGAATATTAGCTTTTGAACTAAGGCATAAGATAGTTCAAAATTTCTTTGCAATAAGATATCTACATATATATATATAGATATATATATATATATATATATATATATATATATATATATTTGAATAAGGTTCTTTTTATATTTTTTTGAATAAGATTATTTTTATTTTTAAAAATTTAGAGTTATTAATAATTAAAAAATGAAAGAAGAAAAAAATATAATAATATAGAGTAAAAAATAACATATATCAATTAAAAATATACAAAAATTAATAAAGCTTATCGTCTTTTTAAATATAATTTTTATAATAAATTAATTGGAGTTGTAACAATAAAATTCTTAACATAGTTTAAAAACAGCAAGAATTACCATTGAATAAATAGATACTATGTATAAAAGATAAAATTTGATTTTTGATTAAGTTCTTAAGATGTTGAATGAAAAAAACTAAAAATCAAAATACACTATAAAATCTTGAATTATATATATATATATATATATATATATATATATATATATATATGTATTTAAATTTAAATTTAAAAATATTTTTAAAAAAACAAATCTATAGCATTTTCTAATATTTAAGATTAAAATTCATAAAAAATTTATTATTTTTTTTTTTAAATAAATTAAAATGCCTCAAGTAAGAATTTTAAATTTTTTTTGTATTTAAATACATATATTTATATCCTCTCAATTCAATGTTAATACCATAAGATAATTTACTTATAAATAATTAATTTTAGATTTCCATTTTTTACATAATAAATTGTAAATGAAATTTAAAAAAAAATAAAAAAAAATAAAAAAATAAAAAAAAACTAGTCAAATAAAAATTAGAATTTTTTAATGAAAGATCACATTTATTGATTTCTTGTGCATTAATAATTTTTTTGCATCCATACCATTCAACCATACAATGATATATTGCTTTCAAGTTCCATAAATTTAGATATTCTATAATACTTCGACATGTGGCGAAATCAATTTCTATTAAATTGTGCCAATGTCCAATAGTGAAACAAGACCAGATACTCTAAGGCCTAAAACCTTATCAAATCCATAACAACAAAGACTTCGATATAATATAAGACTAAGTACATTAAACAAAACTTAAATTAATTAAATGTAAAATAATATAAAAGACAAGACTAAGCAAAAGAAAATAGAACCAAACAAAATCAAATAGAACAAAATAGAATGGAACGGTGAAAACAAACTTTATTGAAAAAAACCGTTTGAAACCATATCTGATTGAATGCCTCAAATAGCCTCAATCAGTCCTATTTATACTTTCTTCAATTATCTTGAACTTTCTAGAATGCTCTTAATGGTAGGCCCTACCAAGATAACCGCCCTCCTAGAAGATTTTAGAGGTGGATCCTACCATAATAATTACCTTGAGCCTTTCTAAAAGGATCTATGATGGATCCAATATAAATCACCATCTTAAATTTAATTCTAGAAGCTTCTTAAAAATGACTCCAACTACATATCTTTATGTGTAAATAATACAACCATCCTATCCATGCCTTGTTATAATTAATTCTCTTCTATTAATGTGAAATGTCCTTGTTTTGCTTCTGATGGTATTTCCAAATGATTTCTTGATAATAAGTAAGGTTTTGTTCAAGTTTTTACATTGCATCATGGATGGGATAACCTTTTTAGAGAACTTTGAACTAAATTTGTAGGCATCCATTGCCATGACGAAGGTAGCAATGCTCCAAAATATTATCCACTTCATACTGTCATAGACATACTCATGTAAGCTAGTAATTACATATATAAATAGGTAGAAGTAAGTGAAAGTAAATAAAAGTAAGTTGATTCTATAGTATTTAATATGGAAGCTTTTTAGAAGCTTCATAGATGCTGCTTTGACTTCATAGGTGTCTTTAATTGACTTTTTGGATTAAAAACGTGGTCAACAAGTTGGCCATGTGCCACACATGTTGTTAGCTTGAAGATCAAGCTAACTATGTAGCCCACACGTAGAAAAACTTACCTTGTAAGTCAAGGCATGTGTCCTACAAAGTCAACACATATTGGAGGACCTATAGAACATTGCCACGTAGCCCCTAGTTAGATAGTATATATAGAGACAAGAGTGAAGGCTTCTTCACTCTTGTCAACTCTTTTCTTGCTTCCAGTCTAGTTTCAAGGGTCTCTAGTTTTCTTGTCTTTTGCCAATAGCCATTC